CTAGAGCCCAGGTCTAGTGACATTTATGATGTCTCTCTTTGGAATATTTAATTTGAAGACTGAAAGTTTAGGACAGGTAAAAGAATGCTCTAATTTATACCATAAATGAATTAGGACCCATTAACTTGAGTGGAATTTCAAAAAGTTTGGATAACTTTATGAATGGCTAACCACAAATGGCTACCTAGGACTTGGATTATATCTAGTCCTTAAGGATAATGTGACATTGCCCTTTACCTCTCTGTACCCAGCATCTAGTACAGCTGTCTAAACGTGGTCAAGGCTTCGGAAGCATTGTTACTGGTGAGCGTTGTTTTCCTAGAGCACGTTTCTTGATACCCCTATTGGCAAGAGGCACAGGAATAAGTAGATGAACTATGGAACTGCCCCTGTTCAGCAGTGGCTACATTCCAACATAGAGTCAAAATTGCCCCTGGCTATCATGTGTTGTGTTATTTTGGAAGATTCACCCACTTTTCATTTCAGTTAAGCAAACACTTAATTGAACATTTTGTAATATACCAGGCTTTGGGGATACCGAGATGAGTAAGAGAAAGTTCTTGCTTTTGAGAAGCTCATGTTGGAGCAGGTGAGGGGAGGTGGCAACAACAGACACACAAGGTTCCATGTTAGAGAGATGCATGTCATGTAGAAGCGTGACTCAGGAAAATTTTTTTTGTTAAGAAGAGTTGGGAAAAGAATCACAAGGTGTGCCTTGATTAATGGGTTTCCCAGGAGTATAAGAGCTGGGGAGCATCATAGGAGAAAAGTGGGAAGTTTATTAGGAGGGGAGATAGTTTAGAATTCCCAGCAGAGAGAACAGTTTATGCCAAAGCAGAGATTTTAAATTGCATGGCATATTTGGGGAAGGAGGAATAGATTTGGGTGATGTGGATGGATCACAGATTGCTTTGGGGAGATGTCAGGACATGAGTTCTTATATAAGTAGGTTGGAACTATTATGAACTTTAGTGGGTTTTTAAAAATCCCTTTATCAATGTTCAAGTGCTTCTTTTTCGTGTGTTGCTTACATTCTTCTTTGTTTTTTAAAACATTCTTAAGATATTGATTAAAATTTCAGTTTCTCTTTCAAAAACATTTTATTTAAACTTTTACAATTTATGGTTATCCTCCTATTCCTGTGACATAAGGGAATTCAGTTTAGCAATATTTAATACTTTTCCTATATTCCCTATTCTGACTAATGGCACTGTGTGTAACCAAGTCATCCAAAGTCATTAGAGATAACTTTATTTCCCTTTGTCTTGTGCCCATGTCATGGGTCCTTTATATTTTACATCCTTAAGATCGCTTGACATCTTCTATATTTATTCTATCCCCTTCCTTTTCTCCCGTTTCTACTACTTGGAATCAGGCCCCCATCATCTCTTGGTCAGACAGTTGTAAGAGAATCCAGTGGACTACTTAATTGCTACCAGAGTACTCTTCCTAAAATACAAATCTGTTTTTTTCCCTGTAAGATCTATTAGTGGCTCTCTCCGTGTGATCTAAACTCCTTGCTAGACTGTGATAGTTCTATTCCTCTGATACCAGTTTCTCTCTCCTCAACTTTTATACACATCCTGTGCTTCAGCCCAATCAAACTATTCATGATTCTTCTGAATATGCAATGTTATTTCAAGCTTCTATGCCTTTGCACCCATTACTTGCTTTGTTTCAGATGCCCTCTAACCCCTAGCAACTCCTATTCATACTTTTAGACCTGGTTCAGGTAACTTTCCCTTCCTCTGTCTTGCTCAGGAGTAGTTGATTACTCCTTTTTTGAGTTGCCAGTGTACCTAGAATGTATCTCTATTATTGCTTTTATTGTGTTATATGGCTGTTTGATTTTCATATCTGTCTCTGCCCATAAATAGCTTGAGGGGAAAGACTTAATTTGCATTTGTTTGAGAAACACTTAATTGCAGGTATATACTAAGCATCATTATCATTGAGTATAAATAATAGATGTCTATACAACAAAATTATTACAAAGACTTTTCAGAATATCATCAGTTTAAAAAATCATGCTAGTGTAATAATTGAAAAGTACTTTGCTGTAGTGCACAGCTTGTATTGATGTGATTCACTGAGCTGCAAATGACTGGTTAGTGATGTGGAGGCTGCTTCAAACCATGTGAACATGGTGTTGCAGATCATAAAAAGCAACTGCCTAATTGTAAGAAGCCAATCAATAACATAGCAGTTGTGTCAGTTCTCATGTATTTATACATTTTAGCGATAACATTTGAGTTGAATTGCAATTATGCCAAAAATATTTTATATTCCACTTCTTAATCCATATAAAATGAAAAACCAAAAGAATATATTTACAGAATGTTGAGGGCTGGATTAAGTCTTATCTTGATCATTGTGATCTTGGGGATTTACAGCATCTAAAGTTTAGAAGTATCATTAATCTGAGCCAGTCAGGTCTCAGAAGTTGCAGGTAGCCAGTCTTGTCCTTTAAGAGGCATTCAGTGATGGAATGACAATGCACTGTATTAGATATGGTAGGAAATATAAAGGTTCTTCAACAATGTTCAGTAATTTGAAGGTAATTGAAGTTAACCTTTCTAATTGCTAAAATATTATATTAGGTTTCACCTTTGCTGGCAATTCCATGTCCTACTACTGTCATGTGTACCTCTCATCTTCTACCTCCCTCTTCCCATATACTGGCCTGATTGTTTTTTTCTAATCTATTATGGGCTAAGAAACCAAAAAATAAATGGGCTGTGAGTGAGAGTCCAGATTCTTAGACCTTGTGATAGATGTAAATTTAAAAAGAATTTTCTTCCAGATTCAGGGGTGCATTCTGAGGATTTGGGTTGCAGAAAAGTCATTTTCAGGTTCAACTAGCTATTCCTGTATATTATTGGACAGTTAACTAGAGAAGAACTGATTTCCAAATGTGTATAGTAGGTTTTATAGCTATGATTCTTTACTCCAAGTCTTCCCTGAGGAGGTGCACTTAAGCTGTAATAATATGCAGTAGTTAACCAGGTGAAGAGGTGGAAAGAGCAGGGATTGGCATGTAAAGGTGGGAGAAAAGTTTGGCCACTTGCGAGGTAAGGGCAGGGTGGTTGCAGCAAAGAATGAGGGAGAGCTTAATAGGAGGTATGGTTGGATGTATAGTTAGGAGTCGGTTGATGATTTTTGCACTTGATTTTAACAGCAATGGCAAACCATTTTTGAGAAGAGCAATGAGATAATTTACATGTTATGAAGATTATCCTGGCTGCTCACCATGAAAAGATGGGAATTTGAAGGATTAAAGGGAGAATGGGAAGGCTGTTCTAGTCTGTGGAGAGATGAGAGTGGCTTAGTAGGCTAGGGTGGTGGCGAGGGAGTCGGGGAAAAATGCATAGTTTTAAGATTTGTGTTGAAGGTAGAATCAATAAGGACTTTTATGTTCCAGCAATGTGACTATTAGTTCTTTACTCATCTCCCATTATGCTGTTTTGTATCTGCTCTTCTCATTCCCCTTTCCCATCTTGTCTAGCAGGCAAAATCCCATTTAACTTTCAAAACCGGGCTCAGAAGCCATCACTATCACACTATCATTTGATGTACAGTTGGCTTGTTCATTCTTTATTAGTTGCTTTTTTAGTTTGATTACTTTCATCATAGTCAAACCTAGATTACAGGGTTAAGAAGTGAATGAGTGATAATGAAATTTATTCACTACCCAAAATTTGATCTCATCCCTAAGAGAAGTATTCCAAAGAATTTTCATATGTTAAACATAACTGAATTCCCAATCTTAAATCTGAGACTGAGTGCCCGTGCTTCGTGTCCTTACACAAGGAAATAATTATCCTCCAGAGGGCGCACATTACAAAGCCACTGTGGTCAGATAAAACTGGTTTTATACAAAGATCAAACATCCCTCTCCATCTACTGGTCACAGGGAAAATTCATCTTGTTTTTATATTTTGAGCTTTCTAACACTACACTCAGTTACCTTTTTTCATTCTTGTGCATTTATGAAACATTACAGAATTTTTCATAAATATCTTTAAAAATGTATTAACTGTATTTGGATTTAGAAATAACTATAATTCTGTTCTTTCTGTGTCTACTTTCAGGTACTATTCTTAATTTGACATAAACTTTCCCTTTGTAATGACTTGTAGCTGCAGGAAATAATCTTGTATCTTCTTAAAATAATAATTTTCATTGTACCAATCCATATGTATTTTATAATCCTCATCATTAAGTTGAATACTGTCTTGGAACTATTTTAAACTCTTGTTTACACTGCTCCACAAAATAGTTGTTTTACTCCAATTTTCCTTTCCGTTTTATTGTTTTAGTACTAGGAATTGAATTTGTGTGACGAAAGTCACATAAAATTATATAAATTCATTTGCTTTACTTATTTTGACTTGTTATGATGCTAAAGTACATTAATATAACTAAACAGCTGTTGAGTAATGTGGAATGCACATAAGGCAAATATTCTTATTAACATATAATTATATTTAGCAGTAGACTACTCTGCCACGTGTATATGTTACCATCCTAGATAGTTTGGCCATGTTAAAATAATGAAATTTAGACTTAGGGAGTAGAGAAACTTAGATTGTGGAACTAAAGATGAATAATTAGCATTCATGTAATAATTAGCATTTATTTATGCTGATTTTTCTCAAATTCCATGACTAACAAAGGGTTAACTCTTATAGAATTGGGAGTCGTTAACCAATATTATTTCTTTGCATTTTGCTTTTATGTTGATTCTATGAAGATCGTAGTTTTGACCTGAAAGAAAGAAATGATTCTTCATTCTACTATCCATTTGATTTTGGCTTTTGCCCTCATTTTTTAAATAATGGTTAAATATCAATGGCATTTTACCTATGTATTCAAGGTTGTTTTGTTTTGTATAAATATGTGGTTGTTCCATCATAACAGTATTCACCTTTTACAGTGCAATGTGTGGGTGTCTTTTTTTTTTCTTTTTTTTTTAATATCTCTTGCTTTGCAACACACAGGAATACTCTGAAGATAGTAACTCCGAGCCAAATGTGGATTTGGAAAATCAGTACTATAATTCCAAAGCGTTAAAAGAAGATGACCCAAAAGCAGCATTAAGCAGTTTCCAAAAGGTTCATATTTTTTCTGGGTGATTCTGTGTCTTAACGTTTTTTTTTTAATGATATCTTAGATCAAATAAGTTCCAAGTGATTTTATCTCAGAAATTTGTTTTGCAGACCTGGAGAGTAAGTTTGCATACGCAGTACAAGCATATATTTCAGAAGAGCTATCCTGTTGTTTTTTTTCCAGTCAAACTCTCTTTAGTGTAGGGCTATTGTCCTGAAAAGCTAGTATGGTTCTGGGAGAAGGGGAAGCAACATGATGGTCAACAGGTATTATCCGTACAATCTTGTTCCTTCTTTTGGGGACAGATCACACAGGTGTGGTTTCACTGTTTGATAGTGTGATTTCTTGACTGCTAATATACTTTTGGGTTATTCTTACTAACAGATTATTCAGGGGAAAAAAGTATTTCTGGGACTGTATAATAATCAAGAAGTAGGTATTTAATCTTTTGATGAACTTCAGAATAAGCTCAGTTATCCTTAAGTAAGCATTTTAAGACATTTCTTTTTTTAAGCCTTTTAAGTGGCCTTGAGAAACTGGACTTCTTAGTGAAGTGTTTTTCATGCATATGATGTAAAATTCATTCAAAATGTAGACATTGGGTGTCATTAGAAAATAATGTTAGAATTAGGTTAGACTAAAAATTTCTTCTTCTTTTAGGTTTTGGAGCTTGAAGGTGAAAAAGGAGAATGGGGATTTAAAGCACTGAAACAAATGATTAAGATTAACTTCAAATTGGTAAGATTTGTTTTGAGGAGAATCAAACTAGTAATGAAATAAATTCTGTAGGTAAAAACCATTATATATACTTCTCTAAAATAATTCTGTTGATATGTTTCCATATTTAGCCTACTTTTCACTTGTGACTACAATTATACTAAGTAAAAAAAAATCTACATAGGATACAAAGTTTTCTGTTTAAGAAAACTTATCTTTTGGATACGTAGACAGTGTTTGGCTGTGTTATTAATAGAGTGACTTTTCCACAAACTATTAGTGTTTATTTTGGAGTTTTAAAATTCTGCTTTTTATTATAAAGAGCTCCTCTGCCACTGCTTAGGGTCAAAATCTTAGCATTATTCTTTACTTCTCTCTTTGTCTCTGACCCCACAAATAATCCATTGGTAAATCCAGGTGGCTATAGAGAGAGAGAGATCTTCAAAATATATCCAGTATCCGACTGCTACTTATCATTTCTACCTCTGCTACTCTGGAAACCCAACATCCTCTCTCACCTGGATTATTTCAGTAGCTTCCTAACTGGTCTCCTTACTTTTATCCTTGCCCTACTACAGTCTGTTCTCCGCAAGCAACAGAGCGATCCTTTTAAAATATTAAGTCAGATTATGTCATTCCTTTGCTCTGATGATCTCCACTCCCCTCAATAAAATCCAGATCCTTGCCGTGCCTATTAGGCTCTACATCAGCTCACCCTTTGCTACCTTTCTAATCTTGTTTTCTGTCTCCCTTACTGGCCTCCGGCTGTTCCTCTTGTCATCCCAAGCACACTTCTACATAAGTGCTTGTACTTGCTGTTTCCTCTGCCCTAAATGTTCCTCTTACATAGCCATTTAATTCTTTTCCTCATTTGATCATGTCTCTCTTCAAATGCTACCATAGACCAAATGGCCTTCCTCTGACCACCCTATGTAAAATAGCATCCTTCCCATCATCACTTACTTTCATCTTACCCTGCTGTTTTTCTTCTTTGCATACATCACACTTGATCTGTTTACTTTTTTATTGCCTTTCTGCCATCTCTCCCCCCATAGGTTGTAAGCTCCATGAGAGCAGGACTTTGTTTTATTCACTTTATATTCCCAGCACCTATAATAGTGGCTGGCATTCAGTAGGTGCTCAAATATTTTGTTGAATGAGCTCATAGATAAGCTGAAATTGTCATGACCTTATACTCTCATAGAATTGCCAGTCTTCTGGCAGGGTAAAAGTGGAGAGGAAACAAAGCAGTTAGTGAATGAGAGGCCTAGGTACAGAGGTGAATCTTATCATCACTAAGGGTAGAGGAACTTTTAAGTAAAAGATAAAATGGAGCTTTGATTAGCAGAGGTAAGCACTTGCCTCTCTGACAAATGGAAGGATGGCTGATAATCTGTTACCACATTCTTTTTCCCCTGTCTCTGTGTTTCCCATATGTCTCTTCTTCTCCCCATTATCTTCTCTAGCCCATCTATCTGAAATTGAACTTGAATTAACTAGTACCTTTATCCAGTTATCTTCCATTAATCTTGCATCCTGCTCTTCTTGATGTACTCACACTGGCATCCTCACCCACTTTCAGTAGGAGGGGCCCTCTATGACATCTCCTACAAAAGCTATCCACAAAATGTTTTAGCTCATTCCTTCCCTCCAAAATATCAAGACTATTCAAAACATGTTAACTATTATGCAGTATTTTGTGTATTGCATTTGAATATAGTTACAGAAGGAAAACTATCTATGTTGCATTTATCCTTTCTAGTTCTACTGCTCTTTTGTTCTCAAAGGATCTCTGTGTGACACAAAGCCCCTGTACTTTCTTTTCATTTATTATTTGTGAAAATATTAAATACAAATATTTACCATATTTAAATTAATAACTTACAGGGCTGTGAAAGAAGCATCAGGTGTCTCAAGGGACAGAGATTTTGATTAAACAATTATAGTGACATTAGGGACCCAAGGTTCAACTCTTAAGATTCTGTCATTTGAAATAGTACCAAGAGACCCTGTAGAAATCTGCTATCTTAACATACTAGTAATAGTTTAGTTTATGAGCCCATTTAAACTTAAGCTCGCCCGTAAGACCTGATTTTACCCTTTTACCTTGAGCCAAGATGAGAAGCAAGTAAGGGAAAAGATTATTTGTACTTTGTGTTATTTTGCCTGCCTTCCTTCTCCACCTTTTATTTGCTCTAGCAGCATCTGTGAATAAGTTGTGATTTTCAAGAGAGGTTTAGCTTCCATTCCTGCCCTCTTATTTTCTGGTTGGATTTAGAATAGGACCCATGTTGCTGTGTAGTGGTTTTTAGGCAGTAAAAAGTTGGAAGGGGTCATTAAAACTGCTCTATGTGTTCACCACTGCAGATAAGACCAATTTACCTAACTGTCCCTCAATCTTTAGTTACAGTAACATAATTTTTGAAAATTGAGCTTTAAAGTTATTACACTATAAGGAAATGAATTCAAAACTAACTTTTTGCCAGAATCCTATTTCATTATCAAGATATAATCTCAAAGTTGGGGCAGTCATACTTCTGATTTCCTCTCTGCCACGAGAAATATTCTGTAACTTAGGTTTAGCAGCTCACTGATAGGATGTTATCTGTTATTTACCCCCACGTGGTACCGGCATACTTGGTTCCAGAGTCTTCTCATGTTTTCTTTTCTGGTCCCTCATGCTGTATCCCAGGACAAGACATAGTCATAAGCAGGAAATTTACAGTAAATCATTAGTTTATTCTTCACCCTAAAAAATATGTGTTCCATTAGTCAGGAAAAGTGTTTTATCTGCCAATACTCCATCTCCCTGATGGAAAGAAAGTAGAACCCAGTAAAAAGTGGGATTAACAGCAGTTGGAGATTTTGGGAACTGTGAGTGCAGGTTATAAGGTTAGACTCGTAAGTTGACTTACATTATGTACTTTGAGAGATGATAGACCCTCTGCGCTTAAGTGCTGGAAATTCCACTAGTAGTCCTTTATTTCCTCAGATCATTGATGTTTCCTGGAATAACCACAGTAGTGCAAATAGTCCTGCAAGGAATAGTAGCATTAGCTACATCTACTATTGAGTAGAGTCTCAGGTGGGAGGACTTTTCTTCATAGTGGGATGAGAGTATCTGGGCTTTCAGAGATTCTTTCACTTCACATTTTAATGTAGAGCCCGCCAATAATAGGAGAAAAAGAAACACCTAATTATTAGAGAGCTTCCTGATAAAGCTTCAGGAGAGGATATAGCTGATATCTGCATAGCTGATACCCAAGGCATTTGAAAAGTTGGATTTAGTTATATCTTTTGGTCTATGAATATTTTGGAAGTTTTTATGATTTAAATGTGTTTTTTGTGCAATGAGGAACAATATCTGAAATTTGGAAAATCGATAAGTTGTACTTTTTCATAGGCTAACTTCATAAATTTGGTTCATATGTCTGAGTAATCTAATTTCAAATTTAAGCTAAAATGTTTATAGTGTTTCTGTCATATATAGGTCCTCTATCATAAAACTTTATAATTTTTTAATTACGTAGCAGTATGTACTATAATGTTAATCATGTGTACATATTTTAGGACATAAATATGTCTCTAATAATGCATTTATTTTTCCCTCACAGACAAACTTTCCAGAAATGATGAACAGATATAAACAACTATTGACCTATATTCGGAGTGCAGTCACAAGAAATTATTCTGAAAAATCCATTAATTCTATTCTTGATTATATCTCTACTTCTAAACAGGTTAGATTCTGTTTTTGCCTCTTGGTACTTATCGATGTGTTTATTATTTGTATGAAGGGTTTTGTTCTTTTTTTTTAAAAAAAAAAAAGGCCTAGTAGTTCTATTTAAGCAGTTTATGCTAGTTATTAGTGTGCTTTAAAAATAATGTATACTATTTCTTGATTATCATATTAATTATATAATATTAAAAGTGAATACGTCTAGGTTAATGTCTTTAAATAATATCTTTAGATACTAACATAATCTGCACACAACTTTTGCAGATTTATATTAGACATATACAGTTACTGTTGTAGTTCCTTCTAATAAACTTCATCACCACTTCAGCTAGCCATCCTGAGCTGTTAAATACATAGCAGTAAATCATAGGTGATTTGTGTAGATTTGATTAGATAAAGATCCTTGAGGGAGAGCCTGTACTCATATCGGTTAATACTTGGCATTACTCATTTGGTGTTCAATAAATGCTTTTACAAAGAATGGGTGGATGATGGATGATGAAAGGAAGGGCTGATGATGAAGAAACTACAGTGGGCATTGGGAGTGATAGTGCTTCTGTTATTCTAGATTTTGGTTATTAAGAAAATCAACGATGATTTTACTTTATTGCTAAGATAATTTTTAATTGGATTGTTTCTATTCTTTTAAGCAACATAGTCCTAAAGTTCAGCTTTGTTACATTATGATATTTGAGCACGAAGTACTCTCTGTAGCATTGAGTATTTCGTAGAAGATTTGATACTTTTTTGTATTTATAATAAAAAATATTCGGGGCTGGCCCCGTGGCCGAGTGGTTAAGATCGCGCACTCTGCTGCAGGCGGCCCAGTGGTTCGTCAGTTTGAATCCTGGGCGCAGACATGGCACTGCTCATCAAACCATGCTGAGGCAGCATCCCACATGCCACAACTAGAAGGACCCACAACTAAGGATATACAACTATGTTCTGGCGGGGGTTTGGGGAGAAAAAGGAAAAAAATAAAATATTAAAAAAAAAAAAAGATTCATCTCAGAATCAGCCTCTTTCATTCTATCTTTTCTGCTAGATGTCATTTTTATTTCTTGAGGCAGTTTATTATTTTTAGTTTTTATATCTAAAATATATGTAATGGAAGTAGAGGAAGATAAACTTTTATGTTTTGTTAGAACATTAGAACTTAATGGCGCTGATTCTTAAGTTGTTACATATCAGGGGGCTTTTCTTAAGTGGGAAAATGTTTTCGAGTTCTACAAACAAGTGTCATTAAAACATTTTTGGTACACTATTTATAAATGTTATGCCAGATGTTGGTGGCAGGGGAATTAAGTAATTTTAAAACTTGAATATTGAATGTTGCTTCGTGCTATTATATATAAGCTCTTTGTCTTTTGAAAGTAAGAATAGATGTTGGGTGGGCGGCACTCGACTTAGTCAGTATGCCATCAGCAGTCGTGAATAAATAGGCAGCCTTTTCTGGAAGTATCAAACTTTCCTGTTTTCATGGCCCTCTTACTTCTTGATCCTATTAAGTAGAGATCTAGAGAATCAGGTATTCGAACCAGGGCAGAGCCAGAACTTGGTGGAGGAGGGAGGGCAGGGGAGCTTATCATAATGCAAAGCAAATAGTGATTTTCATGAAAAAATGTTGCACTCAGATTGGTGAATTGATGGTAGTCAGACACAGCTAAAATTATGCTAGACTTTTCCCTCCACCCAACTCCAACAGTTTACCAGTAATTTAAAAGCTGTCTAGGCCAGTTAATTGATGTCACATTTATAGAAGAATTTTTGTGAGAAGAAGCTTATTCTTCTTTGTTTTTTTAGTAGCTTGCTTAGTGTTTGCCGCATAGTAGGTACCAAATAAGAATTGAGTGAATAAAATAAACACTGTTAATAACAGTACAACTGTTCTATGTGTGTGTCATTTACTTGTGTTAATGTAAAATGAGTTATTAGGTTGGAAAGGACAAACCTATATTATTAGAGCATTAGATATTTTCTGGGTTTTATTTTAAAAAATTCACATAAGAACAGATCTTGGCACTTGTTTTTTTGTAAATCTGGTCTGTATTTTGCTAAAGTTCTGGTAATTTTGTGGACTGTCACAGACATTTGGTAAGATACAGATAGTGTATCTTACGTGTATTAAAGTTCAAAGATGCACTTTTAGTTTGCTCAAATTAACTTTATTAACAGGTACAAATTTGCTGTTTACAATTATAGAATTCTGATTTTTTATGTCAGATGGATTTACTGCAGGAATTCTATGAAACAACACTGGAAGCTTTGAAAGATGCTAAGAATGATAGACTGTGGTTTAAGACAAACACAAAGGTAACAATTAAAATTGCTTAACATTTTTACTTTTGAAGAGGGGGCGGGTGTCCTTAGTAAACTCTTCTAAAGATGTATGCCTTCTCATGTTGAAATCTTTTAATTTTAGTAAGTTTGTTTTTTTACAGCTTGGGAAATTATATTTAGAACGAGAAGAGTATGGAAAGCTTCAAAAAATTTTACGCCAGTTGCATCAGTCCTGCCAGGTAGTGTTCACTTATTTTTTCTTAATATTTCTTCATCATAAGAAAAAAATTATATTGGAAACATTGCTTAGGGATGTTTTTGTTCAAGCATCATCTGAAAAATAAAATTTGGAAAACAAGTTACTAAAATGCTGATTTCTTCTGAGTATTACATTTCTTCCTGTTTTAATCCTAATTTCAATCCTGTTTTTGTGGAATGAGGCACAAGTATCAATAAATAAACAGGCTGGTCATTAATACTTACTAAGAATAAGTCTTTCATATTTAGTTATGCACCCTATGAAAATTGGAAAAGATATTGTAGACATATATAATAAAGATATTTGATATTCTGGTTTATGATGTATGAATCCTTTGTAACAGCATTGTCCAGTAGAACTTCATGTGATGCCAGAAACATTCTTTGTCTGTGCTCTCCAATATGGTAACACCAGCTACAGGTGATCAAACATTTGAAATGTGACTAGTGTGATGGAGGTACTGAGTTTTTTATTTTATTAAATTTGAATAGCCACGTGTACCTCCTTAACTTTTAAACTCCAGACCATAATTTTGTATTTCCTTTTTAAAAATGTCTTCATCAATAATTTATTTCATATTAGTCTAAATTTTATATAGAAATACTGTTTTAAATGTTTTTAAGCTCTTCCAATGCCATGTACTATTATTTTTATTATATATGTTATTTTTGTGAATGGGGGAAAGTTGATCAGGAAAGTGTTCTGAATTAATGACCTGAAGATATATTCATTTAATAGTTTTGCTTTTTTTTTGGTTTTTAAAAATAAGAAAAGGTTTGTTTCATAATGGTTTTGCTTTATAAGCAGATAAGTTGTTTATGAATTGTTTCTTATCTACACATTCTTAGGAGACCTTAGTCTGATGCCTGAATAACTGAGGGTTCAGTTCCATGTGAAATGGAGAAGCCATTTCTGAATGGAAGAGGGTCTTTCAGTGTGTACATAAGGAATATGAAAAAATCCTCTGGACAGGTTTTCACTTGGTTTATTTCAAAGAATACAAAGAATAAGGAAAATGCTATCTGGATTGTAAATAGCATTATAGTATACCAGAGAGGCATGATAATCCGGATGTACAAATTGTCTTGCATATCATATCTTTTACTCTGGCTGTGATTCGTTAGAGAATAACTAAACAAGTTTTAAGTTGGAAGACCAAATAAATAATACATTTTGGCTTTGTGTATTTCAGTGCTTGATGTTTATGATTATCTGACTGTTGACCTTATGCTATTTTTTTATGGCCTGCATTTTGTGGGCTGTTGGTCATCTTTCAAAGTCAAACTCAAATGTCACCACCTTTGTTATTCCTTTGGCATCCCCCCGGAGAATTAGTCCTTTTGTCTTCCTTTCTTCTAGGCACTTGGTTCATGCTTCAACTAGAATCATTATCATTTATATTGTAATTTATCTGTTGACAGAACAGTATTCTAGATTGTGAACTTTTTGAGGCCAGGAACATTGGCTTATTTAACTTTGTATTTCCTCAAGGTAGACTCAGTGCCTAGCCCTAGGTATGCACTCAGGAAGTGCTTTTTGATTGAGTCAGTGGATCTAAAGTGGTTGTGAAGATTTGGAGAAGACCATAAATAATCTAGATAAAACAAACATTACAACATTTTATACATTAAAAAAATTTCTCTGGCCACTTTTTCCTTATCCAATGACTAAAAAGTACAAAAGATGTGTGGGTTCCTTTTTGGCCATTAAAGATAGTGTTTTTAGTACTGTTAAGTCCTAATTAAAATTTGCAGTGCATTTTCACACAGAATTAATATTCGAAATGTAAGGTTATCAGGCTAACTCAAATAAAAATTACTAGATTGACTCTGAATTCTATCTTGACTGAAATTCATTATTTGCTTTCCTAGACTGATGATGGAGAAGATGACCTAAAAAAAGGTACACAGTTATTAGAAATATATGCTTTGGAAATTCAAATGTACACGGCACAGAAAAATAACAAAAAACTTAAAGCACTGTATGAACAGTCACTTCACATCAAGTCTGCCATCCCTCATCCACTGATCATGGGAGTCATCAGAGGCAAGTTTGGTTTGGAGAGGGTGGGCAGTGTCACTGGAAGATATCAAGATGTCATTGCATGTGATTGAATGACTCTGAAAAGTGTTTTGGTTTTGGTGAAAATAAATGACAAAGTAGTGAAATCAATGAAATGATTTAGTCTTAGAACGGAATTAGAATGAACTTTTTGTCTTGTAAAATTTATATTAGTGAAGATATTTACTAATAGAAAATTCACCATCAGAAGTTCTATTCTTGGATTTTAGTGACATATATGTAATTACTTTCTCCTTCAACCAAGGCTAAAAATTTGCAAATGCTTGGTTGGGTGATGTTTAATGAAGAGCTTGTTTTTTAGAATTAAGGAGTGTACCCTGGGGCTAGTACTATGCAGGTTGTAGAAGTAAAAGACTGGAAAGCACTAAAATAGTTTTCATTTGATTTTTTTATAGAGTGGTCAGTTTTGTTATTACAGAACTGAAAATGTGCTCTTTTCTCTGGTCTTATTCTTTACAGAATGTGGTGGTAAAATGCACTTGAGAGAAGGTGAATTTGAAAAGGCACACACTGATTTTTTTGAAGCTTTCAAGAATTATGATGAATCTGGAAGTCCAAGACGAACCACTTGCTTGAAATATTTGGTCTTAGCAAATATGCTAATGAAATCGGGAATAAATCCATTTGACTCACAGGAGGTATATGTGTGCCCTAATTGTTCATTTCGATCAGCTGTCTTTTGTGGAAATAAAAATGTTATTCTTTCTTTGTGCAGTATACATAGTTAATTCTTGTTTTTCTATGTTTAGGCCAAACCGTACAAAAATGATCCAGAAATTCTAGCAATGACGAATTTAGTAAGGTAAGTCTTCATATTTCAGTTAAGGTAAATATCCTTAAAGTAGCAAATAAAGAGGAGAGAACTTTTCAGAATTAAGTTAATATTCAGCATTTATTCTTTTGTATTTTGGTTTGAAATATACCAAAGTTTGTGAAATTTTTATCTTCTAAAGTCATTTATTATGCTTTTCTGTTAGTCATGAGATTTTATGAAGTATTCGCTGCTTTTTTTCTTATTATCCACATGTTTGTGTGTGTGTGTTCTTTTTCAGTAGAAAACTGATTGTAGATGTTTTAAAACAATGTTACGATGTTTACTGTTTCTACCTGCCTTAATCGTAAATGAAATTATGAATTGGTCCACATAAGTCAAGAATTTTCAATAAGACAGTTTCTTTACTGGTATATTTTCTCAGTTGACAAGATAAAAAAATTGGGGCCAGCCCCATGGCGCGCTCCACTGCGGCAAGCCCAGGGTTTTGCAGATTTGGATCCTGGGCGCGGACATGGCACCACTCATCAGGCCATGCTGAGGCGGCGTCCCACGTGCCACAGCTAGAAGCACCTGCAACTAAAAAACATATAACTATGTAGTGGGGGGATTTGGGGAGAAAAAGGAAAAGTAAAATCTTTAAAAAAAATAAAAAGATAAAAAAATTGTTTTAAAACAGTTTATCTCAGATGATTTTCTGAGGTGAGAAGCAGAGGGGTCATACTGGTAAGAAACCAAAAGATTTGATTTATTGGTGGCTTCTGCAGAGACAGATATGGCTAATGATGGTTAGCAACTGAAAAACCTGCTATAATCAATTAATAGTAAACAAAATTATAGAAGATAAGACCATGCAGAAAGCCCAGAAAAGAAAGCCTATTTTTGCAAAAGAAATCAGTGAGCAAGAAAAATTTTCCTCTGGGCCAAGAATAAATGGAACCGTTGGCTTTAATAGATTTTCTTTGTAGAAAGTTTCAGAAGTTCGTTAGGTTTCTTCAATTCCTTTGTTTCAGATTATACAGCAGAGTTTGCCAAGCCAGAAGAATGCAATTAGGGACATAGGCCAGGGGTTTTTGCAGATGTATGTAGATAATTAGGTGACCAGACATTCTCTTAATATTCTTTTTTCATTTAAAAAAAGTACTGTTACACTATAAATTATGAGTCACCTACATAAGAATTTTATATACTTGGAGAAAATAGATTATTTTATGATAATTGTTTAAGTTCATATGTAAACTGCCCTCATTTACTTAGTTTTTATTTGCTACAACTTTCACAAGTTACTAGGTTTTTTGTTTTGTTTTAAGGAAACCTTAATTTTACCTGTAAAAAATAAGAATGATTTTATTTTAAGGGGACTATGAATGATTAGGGGATAAAAGCCCTAAATTACAACATTAAAAAATCAATTTCTTCTTTTTTTTTTTTTTTGAGTAAGATTAGCCCTGAGCTAACGTCTGCTGCCAATCCTCCTCTTTTTGCCGAGGAATGCTGGCCCTGAGCTAACATCCGTGCCCATCTTCCTCTATTCAATTTCTTTTTTATTGTTCACTTCTTTAGTCTATTTTAATATATATTTGTTGAATTAAATTGATTTTAGTTATGAAAGGAGATTTCTCCATCTTTATTTCAAACAGTTTATTCCATCTACATTTGGCCACATTAACTAAGATGATTTGTTTAGAGATTAACTTCATAATAATTTTTTTAAATTTATAAAGTTAAATTGCTAAGCAACAGTTTGAACTTTTAAAACTCTTAAGGGGGCTGGCCTAGTGGCCGAGTGGTTGAGTTCTCGTGCTCCCCTTCAGTGGCCCAGGGTTTCAGCAGTTCAGATCCTGGCCGTGGACATGGGACCGCTCATCGGGCCATGCTGAGGCGGCATCCCACGTGCCACAACTAGAAGGACCCACAACTAGAATGTACAACTATGTGCTAGGGGTGGGGTTTGGGGAGAAAAAGCAGAAAAAAAAAAGATTGACAGCAGTTGTTAGCTCAGTTGTTAGCTCTTTAAAAAAAAACCAAAGAAATATTGAGGGAAAGTTTTGCTCTAGACATTAATATTTCATCTAAATTAAATTGGTTGAATACATTAAAATGAATTAAAGGACTGATTTATCAGACCTTTAAAAACTAATAGCTGTATTTATATATTTATGATGTTACAATTTATCCAGTGAAACCTCTATGTTAGAACTTGGAAACTTATTTTAATGGCAAATTTTGACCCAAACCAAAAGTGGTCTATGATATCCCACATTTTGTATAAGATTTTCTTTAAAAGCCACTTAAATAGTGGAAGAATGTCTCTTGATTTAACTATAAGTGTGTGCAAGTGTTTTCACTACTGCTTGACTATATCTTCCTATAGTATATTACAATAATGTATTTGGGGTAGGTAAGAAAGTAATGCTTCCTAATTTTATCTTCCTAGTCAGTTGCCAGGAGACTAGAGGAAAATAATTCCTGTTGAAGCACTTGAACCATCTGCCCCTAACATGAAGTTACATTGCGACCCAACAGATGGAAGCACAGCAGAGGGCGTGCAGAATGGCTGATGATATGTCTTACATATAAAGCCCACAGTGGTGCCATATCCAGAAGGTTGGCTTCTTCCTTCTCAGCACCTTTAGCAGTCTCCATAATGCCTTACAGAATTTCAAGAGTAGATACTAGATGCCTCAGAGAATCATGAACATAAATCAGCCTTTGGCCTTCTGCAGCAGGGTCCATCGCTCTTTACTTTGTGAGCGTGTCCTACTTGGCACTATTATCCCGTTGTCTGCCACTGGTGTTTCTGCTGTATAGCACAGTGGAATTTTTAGGCTAGAGAGAATTGGGAATCAAATGTTCCTTTGAAAAGTTTTGGCAGTTGCTGGTAGCTTTCTAGAAGATAAAAATTAGGAAGCTGCATTTCTGAATAACCTTCAGAGAGGATGTACTGTCTTATTTGAAAGACAAGGCTAAACTCTTCCATATGGTAGTATGCATGAAACCTGGTTTCCTAGGGATTAAGTGCACAATTTAATTTGAAAGCATCAAACTTTAAGCAGTTATTAAACTAGAGTCAATTCTTAACAATACTAAGATTTTGAGAAGATTTAATTAGCTGTATATAAATATAGTATATAACCCCAAAAGAATATTTATTTAATCTTTCCTTTGTAAAACTGAAAGCATTAAAAAGGAAACTCATTTTATTTGAAGAAGAATGTGTCTATACTTAACTCCGATTTCCATGATGGAAACTCTGGTGATTTAGGTTTTTGCATATAAAAGAAACAGGCTCTTTGGATTATCTGACAAAATACATAACTTCTTCATGTTTAACAAAGTTTTTACTTTTCTTTTTCTGTTAGTGCCTATCAGAATAATGACATCACTGAATTTGAAAAGATTCTGAAAACAAATCACAGCAACATCATGGATGATCCTTTCATAAGGGAACACATCGAAGGTATATTCTTTCTGCCAACTGAATTCTATTTCTTTTTTTGACACTGTCAACAGTGCTTCTTAATGGATCTGCATGGAATTAGCTGTTTTTCTTCAGTTTATTGCAAAGTATAAAAATGTTTTTAAATTCTGTCATGGAATAAGGTACTCCTTAAAATTATAAAGCTGTTTTAAAGAAATCATTAGCCAATTTCATGTTATTAACAAAATCAAGTTCTCATATGATGTCCATTTCATTTAAGGTAGCTGCCCTTTTACCTTTTCTAATTTACATATTGTTGCATGTTTATTACTGATGCTTAGATTCAAAGTTATTTTTTAGGATTTATTTTTGAAATAACAGCTTTGAAAATAGCCTGCTATAGATAGTACTGAGATGCATTCACTTTGAAAGGTAGGCTAAAATTGTACCACTAAGTATATGAGATTTTTAGTAAGTTCTATTGGATTAATAAAGGCAAAAATCATCCCTTTGTTCTGGGGCCACTTTTATACCTCCAATGTTCCACCTGTTATGGAGCTATTTGAGGGTTTTTTAATGACCATTTGGAACAACTCATTCCAATACTTAAATTCCAAATGCATCAAGAAAATTTGAAGAATACTTTGAAAGTAATGTTCTTTTGTTCCCCACCTTCCTTTCTCTTCCATTCCACAGACATTTTTAAAGTTCTTATATGAACCTAGAATGATACTGCGCTTTGTGGATATAGAAAAGTGTAGAAGCCTTGTGCATAAACTCGAATCTAGCTTTTTTTTAAAAAGAGACACTTGTACGTGGAGAAGTGGGGAAAATTGTAAATTCATTGTATAAAATATAATTCTCTAGGTTTTAAGAGAACATAAAATAAGGAATTTGACTGGTGTAAATCAGAGCTTCTTGAAAGATGTTAACTATAGAGGTAGCATCACAACATGAGCAAAATCAGAGAGGGAGAAACAAGGGAAAATTATGGGAGAGGCAGTCTCTAATTATATTGTGCGTCTATTGGACCCAAATGTCTTTAGATCCAAATACCTTACGTCCTTGCCAGACAGAAAGGTGTATTTTGAGAAGATAAATGAGATAGTGAATTAATATGATTTAGAAGTGTGTAATGATTCATAAAGATATACAGACTGTTAAATGCAAATGTATTGTTTTTTGTCTTTTCTTTCAGAGCTTTTGCGAAACATCAGAACACAAGTGCTCATAAAGTTAATTAAGCCTTATACAAGAATACATATTCCTTTTATTTCTAAGGTACTTATATTCATGGATTTTAATGCTTATAATTTATAGTTATAAATGCAGTATACCTATTTTCCATTTAAAAGAATAATTCTAACTTGGTAACATTTTGTAATATTACAAATTTTAACTATAGCATAACTTAATGGCTTTGCTTTTAATGTGAATTTTTCTGTGTTTTCTTGGCATAAATTGAGTTAATAGAAAAGAGAAATAAGGAATCGTTAAATTTCTTTTTAAAAATTCCTTCAGCCTCAGAGAAAATTATAGAAGAGAGAGTAGTGGCTAAAATATAAATTGATGATAGGTTAAGCCTAATCACAGTAAAATTGTGGTAGGAATATACTTTAAAAATTAAAAACTTAAATTTCATCAGACCTGTGATGTGAGAAGTATTTTGAAGTGATAATGGAATTTGTTTTAAATTTTGTCTTCACTAATTTTCCTTTAAGTGGTGGGAATGAATTTAAAATCAGAAAAATTATTTATATAAAATCATGAAGTCTTTAAAAAAGTTAATTAGTAAAATTATGAGTCTTTTGTCTTAGGAGTTAAACATAGATGTAGCTGATGTGGAGAGCTTGCTGGTGCAGTGCATATTGGATAAGTAAGTACTTGGCTACTATTTATCACAAAATGTTTAGGACCATAAAGTTTGAATACTAATGGCAAGGAGAGCAGTTGAATTCTTGATTATTTTATAAAAAGCACTTCTGGCTGTGATTTTCTTTTAAAAGGGATGTTTATGTATGTGTGACAGTTTTTGATAAATGAGCATATTAAGCACATGATATCTGAAAAAGTTCTAAATGGTTTTTAAGAAGGATTTTTCATCAGTATATGACCCATATACAGTTAGAAAATTATTTAACAAATAGTACTTTTTATGTATAAAGTATAGTATATAATAGTTTTGAAATTATATCTTTCTTAAAAGCAGTATCTTTAAAGCTTCACAGATTACATTTGCTCTTGATTAATTGGGTAAGTCTGTACCTGTTGGTTGTTTCAGTGAAATTGATGAAAGGTAGCTCGAATCTGGTTTCTGTCTAGAGTTTGAATAAGATAATGAATGTTATAATTAATGCTGAACTCAATCATTTAATGTAGGCGGCGGGGGGGCGGTTATTGCATTTATTGATATTGTGAATATTTTATGAAACATTAGTCCAGAAGATATGCTTAGTGAAAACAGTTTGTAGACATGTCTTCCTTTATTTATTTATTTCCAGCACTATTCATGGCCGAATTGATCAAGTCAACCAACTCCTTGAACTGGATCATCAGAAGAGAGGTGGTGCCCGATATACTGCACTAGATAAATGGACCAACCAACTAAATTCTCTCAACCAGGCTGTAGTCAGTAAACTGGCTTAACAGAGAATAAGCTTTTACAGACGTACTTAAGGCAACAGTGCAGAGATGTAATCCTTAAAAGAACTGGGAATGGCAAAACTACTGTCGGTTGATGTGTCCTGAAAATTATTGGAGTTATGGCAGAAGTGCTTTTTTTGATCAACTGGTTTGTGTTTTGCTGCTGCATTTATCCCAAGAAAAACAGCTTTAATCTCCAGAAGAAAACCAAAATGCCATGGGATTTATGCTGTATTGACATCTTGCCCTAAACATACAACATCGTAGTAATTTGTCATGGGCAACATGACCAGAGAGAAGATTTTTGTCATGATTTTAAATACACTGACACGCTACTGTTGGTTAAATTTAAACATGTTTTACCTGCAGAAATTCTCTCACAAATAACCTGCAATAACTTGAAATGCATACCCTTTTGAACACTTCCTTTTCTCATGTATAAATTAAAATGTTTGCTGCATTTTGCAAAATGTCAATTCTTCAAAAATGTGTCCGTATATTTCTGTACCTGCAGTGTAGTAAAGGTTTAGATGAAACCCCATAATTATGGTGGCATACTGTCACTTAGGTTTCAAGCAGCAAAATAAACAGTGCAGCTCAGAAATTGTAGTTTGGTTCTTGATGTGTTTTTATTACATTTGGGGTTTTTGTTTTTCTTTTTAGTACCTTAGAAATTTCAAATTATGTTATCTTCAGTTAATGATTTTAAAAAGCCTGGGAGCAAATAAGTTGGTTATTTGCTTTCGAGTTTTTAAAATAAGTCTTTATTGATAAAGTAAGTAGAATTAGTTTCTAACAGAACACTTGCATTGTACTTACTTTGACAGTAATGCTTTAAAGGAATAAATTTTTTTTAAGAATGATATTCCTTTGTAAAAAAGAATAAATACTAACTCTCAGAATGTTCACTTTAAACAAATATGCCAGAACATAGACAGCTAAATGAATGTTACCGTACGTAGTGATCATGCTGGAAATTTATTTCCTAATTCCAGCAGTCTACCATTGCTCAAAACCTCTTGGGCTTTGCTCTTTTAGAATTGCATTCAGAGCTAATTTATGTCACACTATTAACTTTATGATTACATGTTGTTGAAAAAAGATGTATTACCAAGCTGGACTGTTTTACAGTTACCATTATTTGGCACCAAATGACTTTTGACAGTTTCCAAAAATGAAATCAATCTTTGAAGTAATAGTAGAAAGTATGCAACTGGCTTTGGAGGCGATCCCAAGAGTTTTAAAGGTATTCTGAGCAGTGGTAGTAGCATAGTTAGAAGAATGAACTGTGGCCTCCCAAGGTGACTACCTTAAAGGAGATGCAGCTCATTTGAATGTATTGAGTTTTGGATGTATTTGTTTCATTTAAAAACAAAAAGTTTCACATTATTTTATAGTGTCAAAAGGAAGAACTAAGATTAAGATAATTTCTTTGATTTTTCTATTGCTTGTTATTGTGTAAAAAGAAGTGCGTGGCAGTTCAGAAGAAAGACTGTTTTAACTGAAGAATGACAACCAAGAATTTTTGATCATTAAATCAGATTTTATAAACAGTGGAAGGAGCATGGACTTAAAACAAGGCATGCTTATTCGGTTTTGTCAAAATTTTACGAAAATATGTGATATATATTTATACTAAAACTATATAATCCTTAGATTTAGGAGAGCAATCAGCTAATGTCTTTAGCAGATTAAAGCAGTATTAAATACAGGTACAAGTTGGAAATTGTAGAAAACTGAAAGAAAACGAAAGACAAAATTAATGTCTCTGGTAGGGAATAAAAAAGTTTAAGATATTATAAAATTATGTGTATTTTCTTCTCTTTTACATAAATCATTTGTGAAAAGTGTGCTAAATTTTTTTTACAGAAGTGATAATAATTAGGACTTATTTTTCAATATAATTTGAAGACCCTTTGTTACCCAAATAAAAATGACAAGTTTCTGTGCCTGTATTCAAATATGTATGTATGTGATAACTGTGGGAAAAGCCCTGCTTATCTCTGAGTTGATGAAATTAGAATTCAAAGGATTTGAATGATGTGATGTAACCGCTATCCTCCAACTCTTTGCCCAGTTCTCCTGTCATATGTTTACTGTGTGCAGTAGTGCACCTTCTAGTTTCTAGGAAAGCATGCACTTGTTATTCTTTGGGAAATTGGGCTAAGTATAGAACAATATCCAAAGTTATACCATAATCTTTAATTTAAGGTAATTGTACATATCACATAGGCATTGTTGAATCTTCTCTAGGTACAGGTTTATTCTTTTTTCTAAAGTCATTTGCCGCATTTGTTCTAGAACAAAGGTTTTTGCTCTATCTTAACTGTCTGACTCATGTAAAACTTACTATTTTTTTCCCTTTAAACATATTCTGTGTTCTTGTGTGTCAAATCTTGGAGAGTTGAAATCTTAGAGATTGCTTTTCAAAACATAACTAAATTTAATGGAAGTAAAAAAAATTGATTGGCAAATTCTTAGCATTTAAATTGCTGATTAAATCTTTCCCTTTTTTGTGAAAACTGTAGTAACAAGTAGTTTACATCATTTTGAAATATGCTTCTCTCCTTTTTTTTTTACCCCTAAACCTGGATAAACTCACTTCACAGCAAACTTTGGCTGCTACAGATAGATACTGTCTACTACAAGAGCTGCATTTCCATTTCTCATTCTAGCTCTTAGGTTAATTTTAAAGTTGTTGATTAAATATTTTTTATCCATATCTTAATGGAGCATCACTTTTTAAGATGAGATGCTGATGTATGTATTAAGAATTGCTTTCATTACATGAGTCCCTTCTAACTAAAGCTTGATAGTCTATCTTTCCAGACTACTGAGAATCTGATTTCACATCCAGGGTATAGTTTTAGTGAAGTCTGGTTTAAATGGACTACACTGTGGGCCATATAGTACTTTTTGTTACCTTATAATAAGACATCAGTTTGCCACAGACTGAAAAACCGCTATTGTTATTTAAAATATCCACTACAGTAAAAAATTTTTTAAATTTTCCTTTTTAATCATTAGCCTTTATTATTCTTCAGTATAAACACAGGTGAGTACATTTTTCTTTCGGGGTGGAGATTGGGGTGAGGGTATCTAATCAACATATGAAGCAGATTATGGTGGTACAGAACACTAGTCAGTTTAGTCCATAGGAAAAAAAAGTATTTGCCTGTGGATTCCTCTTACCTTTTTTAAGGGATCAGAGATACTCTAACCATTTGTTTACCAAAGCTGCTTTTTAAAAATAGTAATATCATTTTACTACTGTTTTAAATAAACCTGAAATGTTTTCATTTAATTCAGGTCATTAAAGTGAAACTTGAGCATACAAAACTGTAGTAAAGCTAGGAGTTTCATTCTTTATATGAGATTTATAACATCTTGAAGGAGATAAACATCCTTTTGAACTGAGATATGTAACAAAAAGAAGGAATTAACTTTTTCAATTTTTTTTGAGATATAATTAACATAAAACATTGTAAGAAATTGACTTTTAACTATTTTGTTTCAAAGTGTTAATACTATCCAGGCACTTAGAACAAGAGACTGGGTGTCAGTCTCAAAACTTGAAGTTCAGGGACTTTGGTCTTCATTTGCGTTACCAAAATCAAAATTTTTCTCTTTTTTTTCCTGAGGTTTTACTTGTTTTTGTTGTCTTTGCATTAGGTTTCCCAGACGTGCCCCCTCTCCCCCCAGCATCCTATATTGGTTTTATTACAATTATGAGTAGGAATAATTGTAAGAACCTCTTTAATATAGACATATCAGAGATTAACTGTTTTAATCTAAGTGTGTCAGAAGTTCTATTTAACTCAAGATTATTCAATTTTACTATGTATCCTTCTACCTATTGTGTGCCCTTAATGGTGTGGATTAACCAGTGGTTCAAAAATTTTGTTTACTTCTCTTTGAATCACTAGATGAACTCTGACAAGATTTAACCTTTTGGAATTTCAAGGCAAGTTAAAATAGTCATGCCATTTGGAGGATTTATGGTTTATGATACTAAGCACCACAAAACAACTGTGCCAATGATTCTTAATGATTCCCCAAATGCTAAAAATTAATATTTTAATTTGCCTTTGAATCTTGAAAAGATGGTTTCTTCTGGGACATTACTTAAACAAATGTGTGGTTCTCTCTCTCTCTCTTTTTCTTTGGTGAGGAATATTGGCCCTGAGTTAACATCTGTTGCCTATCTTCCTCTTTTTGCTTGAGGAATATTGTCACTGAGCTAACATCTGTCCCAATTGTCCTGTGTTTTGTATGTGGGATGCTGCCACAGCATGGCTTGATGAGCAGTATATTTAAGTCCACACCCAGGATCCAAACCTACAAATCCTGGGCCATCGAAGCAGAGCATGTGACCTTAACCACTACACCACCAGGCTGGCGCCACAATGTGTGGTTCACTTATTTTTTGCTTCTTTAGTGTCCTGTGTTATTTAAAAGCCTGCTGGAATAATTAAAAGTCAATCTTAGGGCATCAAATGTAGTTGCCAACTCTACCTTAAAATCTTGTGATAGGCAAGAAAAGATTATTTATTAAATACTTACCTTATTATTTGGGGCTAACTTTGTTGCCTCTTGGCCAGGATTTTAAATTTTAAACCTTGGTCAGGATTTCCACATTAATGGCTGGCCAGTAAAATTTCTTGTGGGCATGTGTGTGTGTACACATACTTGTGGGAGTACAAAATTCACTCCACACCACAGTAATTTTTTTTCAGTTTCCATTACTTAATATCACTTGTTTCTGACTCAGGCATATGCCATGAAAAGAATTGCTGGTGTACCAATGACTCCTCTGTTCTAACTAAGTTTCACATGGAAGACAGTGTTCAAATTTACATAATTTGGAGGATTTAGGTTGATTTTTTAAAATTCTGAAGTAGGGCATTTTTAAGTCAATTGATAAAGGTTTTTTTACTGGGCGTTATTCATCTTATGTGAGTTTAGAGGGTTAAAAAATTAGAAGTTTTAATCATCCCATGAAATTGTCAAAAGCTTTTGCATGCATAGTTACCATATTAATAGCATTTAATGCTGTATTGAGTATTTAATTTTTGTTAAAATGTTCGCCTATCTCCTATTACTTAACTACTGCAATACTAAATTTTTATGCATCTATTTTAAATAACAGTTTGAGAACGACTAAAATAAATTTTCAATTATATGTCAACTAAGAAATGGAGTGATGATGTGGAAAAGGCAAAATTGTTTGATTTTGCAGTGTTACATAGTTGGTTGCGTTACGAGTTTTCTCAATTTTCCTTTTCTTAAGCTAGTGTTAAAAATAACCTAAGTTCCTTGAGCTCACACTAGGTGGTAGGAAGCAGGTGACTAGGAGTGTGGTAGAGGATGGCTACCTGGAAATGGAACTCCCACAAGTTAATACTTGAGAATTGACTGATATGTGCAGGATGGGTCACAAGATGCTTTAAGACAGGCACTCAAGGATTTTTGACTGGAAGTACACATTCTTTGTCAGTAATAAAAATTACATAATCTACCTCAAATATTTCCTGTGTAAATATTAGTCTCAACTAGCACAAGACCAGCACAGTGGCTTTAAACAGTACACTTTATATATTGAGTAATTCAGTAATATATACTTGTAAAATAGCTTTTGAATGTTTTAAGAATATTTCTCAGAAAACAGTACTGAAAATCTTGTTCATTTGGTTAGAAAATTGGGGTTTAAATATTTTCCACTTTTAAGGTTACCTGCTTGTTCTACTTTGAAGCATTCATGGAGGAGTTGGCCTCTCCTGAACCCTGTTTAATCTGTCCTGGAACAATTCATGGTGCAAACAAATGTCTCAGGAATTACTCCTTCAGTATAAAATTAAACACTTCTAAGCAGGAAATTAAACCAAGGAAAGAAGTGGAGGGAGAAATGTACTCTCCCAAATCCCTGTTACGATGCTTTAAAATGAACTTTTTAAGGGCTGCAACATCTAAGGAATCATTTGTGAATTTACTGTGTATCCAAAAATAACTCAGGTGTAACCTTCAAGGTAGTGGAATGGACCAACCCTCATCTCAAAGTACGATAATGCTATCAGACAATTTTTGAAAGTCAAAAGAACTTTCAGACTAATAGCCTTGTGGCCAGTGTCACTTTGCACATTACAAATCCTTTGGCCTTCGAAGTTGTGGAAGTAGGAGAGGAGTGAGGCTGGTTACTTCCTATTTCAGCTACATTTCCAACAGTGGTAGGTGTTATGTTCATGGCATCAGCCCAGCAAGGAACTACATAAGCAATATACATCTAATATCTTGAGTTGTGTATTTGTTGTACTTAATAGTTTTATGGTCCCAACTCAATTTTTAGAGTAATGAATGGAAATTTATAGTCTTCTTTCTAAAAACCTAATTTAAGTTTTGTTGTATTACGATTGATCCTCTGTAGGTTAGTTGCCTTCAACTGAAGAAGGGTTACCTATCTTGGACCTGTTAAAAGTGAGTTGTATCATGAATGAATATAGACTACAAACTGATTTACTTTATTGAGTAGGGTAGGGTTGATATTTAAAACTCGGTCTTTCTTCTTTCTCATTATTGTTGTCTTCACCACCAAGAGACAGTTAGAAAAGGAATCTAAAAGTGCTAGAATACTAAAAGGGACATGCCCTTTCTCTAACCCCTTCATCTGTTTATTTAACAAATATTTGTGTGCCTACTATGTGCTATGTCCTAAGGTTGAAGGATACCATAAGGAACAAATTATCCCTTTGCTCAAAGAGCATAGTTCTATGGGGAAAGGCAGATAAACAAGATAATTTCAGATAGAGA